TCAGAGAGCTCCTAGGGCTGGGGAGGGCAGAAATGAGCAAAAAATGGACCCGTTTTCACTTTTTGCTCGTTTTTGGGCCCCCACCCCTCCAGGAGCACTTTGCAACCCCCCCCTCCAAGACTATTCAAAATATGAATCTGAGTAGTTTAATAGGTACCACTTCGGTGAGAAGGTAAAGCACTTTGTGATGTCATGCTGGCCACATGACTGCAGAAATGTCTTCAGACAGCACTGGCTCAATGGCCTTGAAATGGAAATAAACACTATTCTAGTTGGCAATGACTAGTGGAGGAAAATCCAAAGGGACTGTTTACCACCACCACCCTTTTTTTAAATCAACACCAGAGGATGAAAGCTACTCTTAGCCATCTTTGTTACAGCAGATCTGAATCCTCGAGCATTCTCAAATCATAATATAATTCCTTCTACATGCCTTTTGAAGTCAAACATTTAAATCCAAATGAAGCTCAGACATAAACGCACTGAACCTCCCGAATTAAACATGTATGTTAGCCCACATTTAGTTCTTCATTGTTCCCAAATATTAATTTCAGTGAACAGAATTGGGTATTAGCATACAAATAATAAAGCCAATATAAAAAGGAACCTTCAGGTAACATTTGAGTAAACATTAGACCACTAAAGCTGCAAAAAAAGTTTAAAAAACAACAACAACCCTCATCAACAGGGCATATGATCATGATAAACTGCTATATGTCAAACACAGCAGCAATAATTCCAGTCAAAGACAAGACCAAAAATCTTGAAGAATGGAATCTGCATCGATTAGATCCAGAATCACCTGGAATTGATCACTCAGAAATTTTGATCTAAGACTGAGAATAATTGCAATGATTGTTATTGAAACGCGCAAGCATCATCACCTCTCATGGCAGGATCCTACTCACTACTTCTTTCTGATTACAGGTATCCTATCATCCCAAAGATGATTTGAGAACAAGCAAATGTCCAGTGAGCAAGCACTAGGCCTCACTCTTCCTAAATAGTCTGCCAATGTAATGTACTTAGGCTGCACAAGCTGAAAAGTATCTACAGTGTCAGAAGAAAAGTGGAGTTGTAGGAACGTTCATTATAATACTGTATCTATAATCAATGTGGAATCCAGGACACAATCGATTCTTTATATACAATTATTTGTAAAGTGATTGTGTTGAAATATTGGATGTTTTCCACTTCTCTGTTCACAAGGAGCCTGTATATCTTTGCCACTCAGAAAGGCAATGCATATTGCTACTGTGTGGTCACAATGCTAGCAAATCTTTTTGTAAAATAGAGCCTAAAACAATTTCTAACTCATGCTCAAGCTTGTCATAATTTTTTCTCTATTACAGTAAAAGCCATCAATCCTGTCACTTCATTATTCCTATTTTGTAGAAAATCAGGAAGGAAACAAGCTTTTATAAGTAGGAGAGACAGAAATCTTTGTCAAAGTGCTAAACTGTGATTCAATAAACCACAATTAGCTATGTATGTACATTGTGCTAAACCAGCACCAAATATATAATGGTTCGGTATGATCTTTTCTTTATTTTATAGAACAACCAGTGTTTTGACAGTATTGCTGTCAAAGATAAGAACCAAGAGAACTAGTCAAGAGCTATCAGGAAATCATGTATTCTACGTGATCTTTCATTTGTGAAGTGACAGGGATGCCCACTTAACATTAAACTCTATAAAGTGGAATTGATTTTTCAGAACAAACATAACTGATCAAGAGAATGACCTGTTAGGCAATCCTTAGGAACAGTAAAGAAGAGGTTCAACATCATAATGAAAGCTTGTAGAATATCAGTTTGTAATTTTCAATAATATTTTGGTCTGCTTGGGGAAGGAGACTACCAGAGAGTAGAAGAAATGATTAAAACTAGAAAGATAGGTGACACATCAATTCGGAACATTCTGACTTGGAGAAGACTGGAAGGGTGAAGATATTTCTATTTTCTTAAAATGTTATATCTCATTCCAGCTACTAAACCTCTCTACCTTAAACAGCATTCACGTTTTCACCCTGGATTTTTTTTTTCCTTCAAACAAATCTGCAAATAAAGCAGAAAATGGCAAAACACTGAGAACCATACGCTGAAAGATCACTTCCAAATATACTATGTCTCTTTTAGCTCTATTGACAGAGATGGATTTTATAGCAGAAAAGTATCAATATACCTCTTTTTCCTCTGGACAATAGAGGGGCCCTGTAGGGTGTAAAACTGCTTTCTGTGCATAATAAAACAATTCAGATATGTTCTTCAAATTCTTTGCTGAGCACTAGAAGAAAAAATAAAGAGGAGTTTTGAAATCTTTACCACAATATGGAAGAAAAAGGCTTAATATATAGCTATTGGATTGAAAGTCTCTTCATCCAAGCATTTGCATATTCTGCTTATGGAATAGTGTCATGATGGAAGAGATTCTTTTGTACAATATCACACTATCACATCAAAAATTTTTATCTCATTTAGTGTTTAAAGTTTTAGTTTTGAAGCCTACTGTTATCTTGACCTCATTTTACCATATGCATCAGTTTTATTTTTATTTTTAGCTGCTTCAATTTTATTTTTAGATGCAAATCCTTGAAATTAATTAAAATGGAAAATGATTTCAGAATACCTGGGCAGTAAAAACAGTTACATTTCTATTTCCTTTAATTATATTTTAATCTAATTTGCAAATAAATATTCTTCCCCAAAGCAGCTTACGTTTAAAAAAAAAAGCCCTGCTGATTTACAATCTAGAAAGACATTTTTTTTAAAAAAGGAATGGTCAATAAAAATGGCATTTGTATTCAGTTGTGAACAGATTTCTTTTTTTGCTGTTACTAGTAACACTCAATTCAACTCTTTTGTACAGAAAGCAGAATGTTGTTCTCCACAATTCAATACTCATGAAAAAACTACCAGTTCTCATTCTGGGAAAAAGAAGCTTCCTGTATCTGCCCCTTTTTTTGATCAATACAGGTAGTCCTCGACTTACAATCACAATTGAGTCCAAAATTTCTGTTGTTAAGTGAGTCATTTGTTAAATGAGTGTTGCCCCATTTTACAACCTTTCTCACCACGCTTGTAAAGTGAATCACTGCAGCTCATTAGTTAGTAATCTGGTTGTGAAGTGAATCGGGCTTCACCATTGTCTTTGGTTGTCAGAAGGTTGCAAAGGGATCACATGACCTTGGGACACAGCAGCGGTAGTAAGTATGAACCAGTTGCCAAGCATCTGAATTTTGATCACATGATGATCAGGATGTTGCAAAGGTCATAACAATGAAAAATGGTCATGTCACTTTTTTCAGTGCCGTTGTAAATTTGCACGGTCACTAAATGAATTGTTGAGGACTACCTGTAGCTGAAGCTAAGCTGTTCTCTTGGTATTTTCTGGGACAGAAGAGACACAACCTCCCAACAGCCCCTTATTCCCCCAGCCGGTACAGCAGGTGCTTCCATCTACTACTGTTGTGGCCCACCGGAAGCCTGTGGAACTGGCAGCAGAGTTGGACAGTGAGGAGACTGGGGAGGAACCTGGGCCAGTCCTTGGGAAGGCTCAAACAAGGGCTCTGGGAGTTATGTGTTGCCTCCGGAGCCTCCAGAGTTGGAAATCAGCAAAGCAGAGGAACAGGGGGAGCCTGTTCCCAGTGCGCGCATGCGAAGAGCTGCCATAAGGCAAGAACAGTTAAGACAAAAGGGACGACTTGGGAGTAAGGCTTGGAGGTGATTGGCCCCTCCTATAAGACATAAAGGAGGGGCAAAGGCATGGCAGCCTTTGCAGGAAGCAACTTTGGTCGTTCTGGTGGGTTTAAATTCTAAAGCTCCTTTTTGACTCTTTGCTCCATGTGGCCTTGTAAGCTAATTGCCAGTTAGGTCTTTGGCAATGTTTCAAGGGAGATAATGGCGGGTGTTTATCAGCCTTATCCTGAAAGAATTTGGCAGACTTCTGGCAGACTCTACAAATTATTTGTGACTCATTAAGGGCTGTGAATGAACATAATTCACAGCTGCTGAAATAAAAAGAGGGTTTTGGGGACTAAGTGTGTGCTTTTTACTGTATCAGGAAGCCTAGGTCAGAACTGCAATCCTAGATTTATTTAAAATTAGAATTCTGATTTCCATGATGTAACTATGCATAACCACAAACATGTTTTTTTCAATACCTCTACACAAGTTTCAATCTCTGTATGCTGGTTCATGATGGGAAGGATGGTTTCCATGCTACTGTACTCAACCAGGTCTGACTTGTTTCCAACCAATATAAGCGGAAGCCTGAAAAAAAAATAGAAGTTCTCACACTGAAAAATTAAAACAATATTAGATAGCTCATAAACACACAGCAAAAAAACCCTATTATTTGCTGTTCAAATTGGTATTCAAATTTTAGCCCCATAGTATACCGTAGTAAAGGAACATAATTTCTGAAGTGATAGGACCATCTCTCAAATCAACCACATGTAGTTTTATCCTTTTAATACTGTAAGCTGCCCAGAGTTACCCTGTGATAGGATAGACGGCCAATAAATAAATAAATATGTGATATTGAAAATTCTGGTCTCTTTGGCCATAAAACACAATAGTTTTAACTAAATCGGTTATATGGCTGGTTAGAAGGCTATATATGATATTTCACTACCACAGCAAGCAATACATTCCTATAAACAAACATGGCTAGGATAAAAATTATGTTAATTTAAGTTAATTATGCACAATAAATTTGTTCATTAAAATATGAGTAGTTTTCCCTTATGTGAAAATCACAGTTCAATACAATAACAAATTCTGGTTTCCTTGGGCATGTCTAGGAATGTAAACATCTTATACTGTATAAAAGAATGCCAGCATTTCAGTTATGTTTCAAATGTAACTTTAATATCTAATACCGGTAGTTTACATTTATTTAAGTTTAGAATTATTACCTGGATTAGACCACATACATATATTCACTGAATTACCCAAATTCCCTTACTGTTTTCAAACCATGTGCAAACTATCGAACTATCACAGGTAGACAAATTTGAACTCCTGGGTGAAAAGCCAGATATAAATCTAACAAAATAAATGCAATTATTTTTTAAACATCAATTCCAGATAGCTAAGCAATTTCCAACAGTACAGTAAGAAGCAAGCTAATGAAAAGGTCAGGAAATAAACTGTGAGTTTATCAATAACCTTCCTCTAAAATGTAATTATAATTGGCGTTTCAATAATATTCTTTAATTTTTCACTATTGAACGTTAAAAGATTTTAATGTGCACCTGCTATCTTTATCTGTTCTTTCATTGATGAGAGGGATCCATCGGCTTGTTACCTAAAGCAATAAATCAATATTCATTTTAAAAAGTAAGGCTCCATTATTCATTTCACTATATATTTCTATTTTGCTATTAGATTTCTGAATATTTAAAATATATTTGAAGAAGAATGCAAGTGCAAAGGGTAGGAACAAATAGGCAAGACAAGGTAATCCTTATGGCAGATATACAAAAATTAAGTTTGCTTTCCTTCACTGATAATTGTGAAATGATAAATTCCAGTGTCAAATTTAGGGGGTAAAAAATAGAACAAAAACTCCATTCAACATAATTGCATGCAAAAAATACATAATCTGCTATGTAGGAACTGCACATTTTCCTCAAAGATATCCAGCAACACCACAAACAATTTTCCTACCCTCGTACCCCAAAATGAATGCAACTTTCTAAATAATTGGATCTTTTTCAGATTCTAATATAATTACCTCATGCAATATTCACTAAATTCAAATTACTTTCACATTACATGCCTAAATATTAATGTATCAACACTAATAATACTGTTAAGTTTTTCTAAATGAAATATCACAAGACTTCATCAGAAAAACTAAAATTACTGTGGAGCTCTTGGTGCTCTCTAAACTTGGTTGTTTGCTGCAGATGTTTTATTACCCAACTAGGTGACATCATCAGTGCCAGTGAGCGTGGGATTTGCTCCCTGCTTATGATATATACATTAGCTTGCTCGGACAGTGCTGGTGGGTATGTGGTTTTCTCCTTCGTAGTTCCTTGATTGTTTTCTGCTTGTTTCCCTGGTTTGCTTGGTGTTAAGCCAAATTCAAAAAAGCTAGGGAATTCAGACAATCAGCCATTAATAAACACATGGAAAGAAAATATATTTATACACCATTTAAAAGAGGCAACAAAAAGCTAAGGAGACAAATAGAAACAGGACATATTACTCTCCAACAGCCAATATCCAGATAAGCAGAGATTAATCAAGACACTCAAACTATCAAGCAAAAAACAATGTCTAATCAAGGAACTATGTCACCATCAACACTAGCAGGGCAAATTACTGTGTAAACAAGGGGAAAACCTCATACTGGCATTGATGATTGATGATGTTACCTAATAGAGTAATGAAATGCCTGGAAACAAATAACAAACTCAGAGACCATCAAGGACTCCACAATTTAATCATAAACTGCATATATTCTGTTCTACTCAAACTAAAAAATATATATTCCATAGCATTTAAAGTTTATTTGAATTCTTTTACAGATGAGGTCCCTAGTTTCCTCATCTGGATCATTCAATATGTTAAATTTAAAAACAGCAAAATATGCCCTTTCATTAGATAAGTGGTAGTCAACCTGGACCCTACCGCCCACTAGTGGGCGTTCCAGTTTTCATGGTGGGCGGTAGGGGTTTGCTTGCTTTATAAATTTTATAAAGTAAAGTTACTTCCCTACTTTATAAATCACCATTATTGTGGAACTGGTGGGCGTTTAGAAATGTTTACTACTAACAGATACACAAAAGTGGGTGGTAGGTATAAAAAGGTTGACTACCCTGCATTAGATGATTACAAGTGAAAGGGCCACACTTTGTCTATCAAGAAAACAAAGCAATTCTACCACACATTTTAGGACTAAAGAAGAAAAGATCCACTTGGATTGATAGAAAATTAAGAAAAGACAATTTCATCATCTTTCAAAATGGCGATCTTAACATATGAAAGCAAACATATTCAAGATCAAGAAGTACACTATATTGCCAAAAGTATTCGCTCATCCATCCAAATAATCAGAATCAGGTGTTCCAATCACTTCCATGGCCACAGGTGTATAAAATCAAGTACCTAGAGACGCAGACTGTTTTTACAAACATTTGTGAAAGAATGGGTCGCTCTCAGGAACTCATGAATTCCAGCGTGGAACTGTGATAGGATGCCACCTGTGCAACAAATCCAGTCGTGAAATTTCCTCGCTCCTAAATATTCCACAGTCAACTGTCAGCTGTATTATAAGAACGTGGAAGTGTTTGGGAACGACAGCAACTCAGCCATGAAGTGGTAGGCCAGGTAAACTCATCCAACATCAGTGTGTGACCTCACAAATGCGCTTCTGGAAGAATGGTCAAAAAGTCCCATAAACACACTCCTAAACCTTGTGGACAGCCTTCCCAGAAGAGTTGAAGCTGTTGTAGCTGCAAAGGGTGGACCGATATCATATTGAACCCTATGGATTAGGAATGGGATGTCACATACAGTAAGTTCATATGCAAGTAAAGGCAGGTGAGCGAATACTTTTGGCAATATAAGGTATGTTATAATAATATATGGACAAATTAAAAAGTGCTTTCCTCATACCTTATCAATTGAATTCTTGTTGTTAACTGCATATACTATGCAAATTACATTTGCCTGGGACAAAGAAGAAGCAAATGGTTTATAACTGTAAGGTTTTCCTCAGCAAATATCTTAAAAGACATTATGAAAGACCACTTGATAGTTCCTTCTGATATTCAATAAATATGAGATATTAAAATTGTGAACTAGCAGTTTGCTTGTAGGTTTTGTACTGTGGGCATAAAGAATAAAAACACAAATACATAGATCTATTTTTGAAACTTGAAACTTGAATGTAAGTTGGTGAATCTTGTTTGGAGTTTGTTTGGTAAAGATTAGAAAAATCATAAATGGATTTGCGAAAATGTGGAATCATATGCTTCAAAGTGAACTATACTTACAAACAAATTCACTAACTTTCCCACCAAATTTATCAGTAAAAGTTTCAGCATCTGAAAAAAGCAGCCTATTATTTCAACAGAAACTTGTTCTGCTTGTGCAAAGGGCATTTCTTCTCCATCTTTTCCCTATCTTTTTTGTTGTTCCATGGGATGGGTGTTCTGAGGTTAGATTGAAAAATTTCAATCCATAAGAGGAAGTCTGCTCATTAGTCATCAAATCAAGACAAAGATCCATTAGTTTATTTTTAAAATCATCTTGTACGCCCATCCTAGTCCAAGAAAGGCTGCCTGGAATCACTCATGCCTTAGTCACTTCCCAATTGGATTACTGCAAATATATTCTACAATGATATCCTTGAAAAATGCCCAGAAGCTTCAACTGATCCATATGTTGCAGCATATGCAAATTCTGAATGCATTGGATGTGGTTTGTATTATTCCTGTGTTGCCCTGCTCTTGTGGGTGCTACACTGGCCCCCAGTACAATTCTGGATATAATTCAATGTGGTTATTGCCATCAAAGCCTTGCATGGCACAGGATTAAATGACTTGAACTTCAGTTTTCCCACCCGATCTGATAAAGTGGGCATGCTCCAGGTCCCACCTATTAAACATCATCTGATGGGACCTAGGAGACGGGCCCATTCTGTTGTAGTGCCTGTTATGCGTAATAATTTCCTTACGATCGGAAATATCCCAAAATTCCAGGTGTCCTGGAAGGTCATGAAGACTTGGTCCTGGATGTTACCTCAGTCGCTGGGATGTTAGTGCCCATCGTTGATATATAGCTGCACTGTGAGTTTGTTCAAGTGCCTGCCTATGGTATTATAGTTATTTTTAACTTAGTTTGTATTTGAGTTTTGAGGTTCTAATGGCCATGTAAAAATTTCAAAATAAATTTATAGGAAATATTTTTGCTTAAGTCCCCCCCCTCCCCAATCATTCTGGCATGAAGGACTTTGAAAACCTGGGCCTGTTCCTGACAACCACACAGCTGCAAGGATATACTTTACTAAACATCCACTCCAGTTAAGACATTTCGACTAACAGTCTAATGGGAAGAACCGAAAGTGAGAATGTTTCATAGCCCAAGGATATATTCATCATGGTACAAGCTTTCCTCATTCCTACATCAGCACTCAGATAAATCATTTCTTTTAAATGATGATTTGCCAGGTGTTGAAAACCTGGCTCATTTAAAGCAACCAAATCACTTTGAAGATGCAACATAAATGTATTAAGCCTGCAAACAAACAAAAACCTGTGTACACTGGGCTCCCAGCAGAGTAGCTTTGGGCAAAAACAGAATTAGAGTTTCTATATCTTTGACCTACTATATTTCAAAGACAAGACAAAGAAAAAGGCAGACCCAGTGTACATTACAGCATATTACTGGAATGCTTTTGAAAATCCCATCGGGAAGGCCTTCTCCTTATTTAAGCTGTTTTACTAGGTAGCACATCAGCTATACCAAAATTGAGATAAGGTAAATATAAAACATTTGGCCTCTGGTTCCTGTCTGATTTTTCCCTTTCAGCACTCAAGAGTCAATCAATCCAGGTTGTTGTGAATATTTCACTATAAGGGTACTTTAAGTACTTCACATACAAGGGTAAGTGAGGTGGGCTTTGGGTCGGTTTGGTAGTGAACCCAGTTCATGTGTGTAAGGAAAGGGGATACTTTTCATTAGACAATAATTTCATAATAATCAGAATGATTCTGACTTTTCTCATGGAAAGAAATTCAACAAGTTCCACAGAATAGGTAAATCACAATTATTTCAGGACAGAAGACACATTCCGCTCACCTGAGATATTTCACGATGGAGCTGTTCGTCGCTTTGCTCATATTCTGCATGGAATAGAATGTCACAATTATTATTCATCTAAATGATCAAAGAAAGGCCAGTAAGTATACTTAAATAGTAAGAGACAAAATGTTTTCCAGTCTTAATCAGACTATTAGTATAGCATTCCAAACTGCAAATATTGCAGTTTGGAATGCTATATACATAATTAACAACTGATTTTCAAGATGCTCCATTACACCTTGCCCTAAGCATTTGCACACAAGTTGGGATATAAAATAAATAAATTTCCACATACTATTCTAACTTTCTGTCACCAAGCACATTCCCAAGCCATCTGCTATTCTATTTGTACTTTCTATCAACCTATTAAAAGGACAACTAGAAAGTCCTTATCTTTGATTGATCTCATTTTGACTACACAAACATTAGCATTCTAGAGCCAGAGAAAAGAAAGATCATTTAAGCATGCAGGTTCAATGTATTGGAAAAATAAAGTCCTACGTTATTCTTTTGATTGTGCAATGTAAGACAGTCTTTGATCAATTATTTGTTTTCCAGTCTCCCAAGTAAAGTTAGATAAAATGGGAAATAATAAAAAAGAATGGGGAATACAGTAAAAGCTTGAGGAGGAGATAGTATTTGTTAAATGTGAATGACCATTATATTTCAATATGTATCACTTGCATAATGTGACGTAATATAACAAGCAAAATTATGTAATAAGGCAAGTTAGGTCTACCCTGAATTTAGATTTAGGAGATTTGTCCACTAAATGAGGTTAGACTGTCTGCTACATTGGGGTGAAGTTTGGATTAAAATGTTGCATGCTAAATGTAAAATCTGTTAAATCAAGCTCGGTAAACCCAAGGTTTTATAACAGTGTTGCAACAAAGAATTATCAGAGTGAAGATAACAAATGAACCTCTACCAATTTATTTTCTTGCCTCTAATCTTAAAAATTTGACAAATGGAAACTTTATATGTTTG